TCCCGGACCACGGGCAGCTCCACCGGCGTCAGCTGCCGCACGTACCGCTCGAGGGTCTGACGCCCCATGCAGAGGTTCGCGCCCGTCTTACACATCATGTACTGGCAGCAGTCCGCGCCCTCGCGGATGGAGATGTCATACGTCCCGATCTTCCGGGCCTCCTCGATGATGGTCATCTTCGCCAGCCCGATCAGCGGCGAGACGATCGCCTTGTTCACGGTGGGGTAAAGCACGCTGAGGTTGTACACCGTCTGCGAGGCTACCTGCGAGGCGGAGTCGCCCGTCGTGAGGAGCAGGTGCGACTTGTCAAACCCCGCGCTGAGCGAGAGCATACACCACTTATAGATGAGTGTTCGGTTGATATTCGGGACCTTGGCGACGATCTGCGTCTGCAGCTTGCTGATATCCACGTAGAACATCTCAAAACGCCCCTGCACGAGCGAGAGCCGCTGCGCAAGGCAGCGGTTCTTTTCCACCACCGACGCTGTATCACTCGTGCTATTCAGAAAGTGGATCCCACTCACGAAGCAGCCTCTCGTCATCATGCGGTAGGCGGCGACCGGGCTGTCAATCCCGCCACTGACGAGCGCGAGAACGTGCTGATTGGGGTCGATTGGAACCCCTCCGACGCCGTTGAGCAACAGCTCCCCGCGTGGATCCCCCGTTCGCTTTTTCCCTACCCCCTCGTAGATCTTTCCAATCCCTGGAATCAGCGCGAGAAGCTTCAGTTGCTCCTGAGTAGGCTTGATCTTCCGCACCTCCACCATCGTATTCCCGCTACGAAGTACCTCGCGGTTGTTTAGCACCCGTTTCACCTGGTCTATGAGAAAAGAAATGTATCGCTTTTGATGCATAGTGCTCTTCAGGTAAACTTCGGCGATTGTGAGAACGAGAGTAACCTCCTCAACAGCCGGTTCGCCATGGCGCTTGCCAAACCAATATTTGCCAGCTTCGTTGATATTTTGTAGGCAGATAAAAGGCTCACCGGTGGTTGTGCTTGCGCCCGCTTCTTTCTGAAGCTTGTAGCCGCTCTTATCGCATGCGTACCAACGCCGCCCGGGAACTTGCATCTCGCGAAAAAGCTCGTCTTTGTCAACCTGTTTTGGGGATGACATATACCATAGATAGCGCGACCCAATTCCGGGCTCTTTCATCACAAAACTGAAGTGCCCATTTCTCAACTTCACGATGAATGCCGGTGTGCGATCAGCGGGAAAGAAGCGTGGGTTGGTCGAGAGCTTGGGCTCAGTTTGAACCGCATTAGAGGCCATTATACAACACGTCGTTTTTTTAATCTTTTTATTTACTGAAGCTTATTTATGTTTTAGCGTTGCACCTTTTAAATAAAACACAACATGTTTATTATATTGAACATGGATATCCAAATCTGAGAGGAGGTCGCGCCTAGTAAAAGCATCAAAACATACACACACACACATGACAGAGTTGGAGAGTCAATATAAAGGAACTAAACAGTCGTTTTTGTTAAAGCTGTGAGAACACATCTATACGCAAGGAACTCAATTGACCTTAGCTAAGGAATTGCTGAACTGGTTATTTACTGGTTTGACTTGAGCTTATCCTTGTTTCGAAGGTACAGCTCCATAGGGAAATCCGGCGCAATATCGATGGACTCAACGGGAATAAAGTATTCCAGAAGAACCAGCATGAACCAGTCTAGAGCGCACAACATCCAACAGATGATCCCGAACACCCGCCCAACCGAGGCGTAGCTCATGCTTCGCTCATAGGTCGAAAGGGTCGTCATGTTGACAATGCGATCATACACCCGCTCCGTGCGCTCCGCCACCCAATCCCAGCTATAAAACCGACGACAGTTCTCGTGCAGCTCCCATGGCGAGATATACGGCACCTTGCTAATCGCCTCCTCGAGGGCGGCGACGATGGAAACGGGATCGGGCTCCGCCAAGAGGAGCATATGCGGGGGGAGCACCTCCGGCACTCCGCCGACGCGCGTGGAAACGGTGAGCAGCCCACACGACGCCGCCTCAATCAGCGCGATACAAAACGCCTCAGTGAGGCTGCAATTAAGAAAGATCTGCCCTTGATTGAGCACGCTTCGCACTTCAGTGTGCTTGAGCGCGCCGAGCATCTTCACGCGATCCATCAAATCACATCGCTCGATCATCTGCTCGAGCTGCGAGCGCCGCGGGCCGTCGCCGCCGATCACCCATTTGATATTCGGATGCCGCCGGCAAATCTCCGGGATGACATCCACGAAAAGATCCGACCCCTTGCGGTACACTAAACGCGTCACGACGACGATCGTGAGACCTTCTTTATCCGTTTTGGAGGCCCACGATTTGTACTTCATATCCTCTGGCGGGGTGAACATCGAGTTGTCGGTGCCGTTTGGAATGACGCTCACCCGCTCTGGTTCGATCTTCGCGCGCAACACCGTATTCTCGCGGCAGGTGTTGCTCACACAGATCACCTGATCCACCGTCCGCAAACTCCACTCGAGAACCTTATTAATGTGAATCGACGCCGCGTCGGCGAAGCCGAAGAGTGAGTGGTCGGTAAAACACGTCTTAATCCCCATCGTCCCCGCGTGAAAGATCGCCTCATGGCAGAGGTTGGAGGTGGTTTGATGGCCATGCACGACGGTGATTCGCTCGCGAATAAAAATCGTCCGGAGCAGCGGAAAGGCCGCCAGCCACGTCGGCAGCGTCACGGACCCGGGCGGCAGCTTCGCGGCGAGCAAAGGGAGGTAATAAACCTTCATTCCGTTTGTGTAGTAGCGTACCCCGACGCGCTCGCCGTAGGCGCGTGTGATGACGATCACCTTATGACCACGCCGCATCAGGCATTGCGCGACGTTGTAGATATGCACCTCCACCCCGCCGAAGCCGGGGAAGAAAAAATCCGAGACGAAAGCCACCCGATGATGCGTCATCTTGAAAGCAAACGAAGGGAAAGGGATAGGAGGGGGGGAGGGAGGGGGAGGTAGTAGGAAGGGGGAAAAGAAAGAAAGAAACACCCTTATATATTAATCAAACAACCGTACTCACTATAGGTAATGAAGGTTAGAGGGAGAGAGAACAGTTCACTTGATGCGTTATCCGAGTAGAACCCGTGCACTCCCCCCCCTTGATTTAAACTGTGAAGATGAAAAAACGAGCCAAGGCGGCTAAAGAATATCAAAGTAAGAAGGAAGACAAAGGAGGGAAGAAACTAGGGTAAACAAAGTTCCGTTTTGCATTCATTGCAGCAGTAAGGGGAACAGATGTATTATTTTAGTGGATATTGTACAATTAGGAGCGGTTTGATTCGGATATATTCGTCAAAAGCACAGTGAGTTAAACGATCCCATTGAATTTTTTCGCTAAATTGAATTCCACCACATCGGCGTAGGATACGGCGCTGCCTAATTTAGCGTATCGCGCGAGAACCGCCCGTCTGCAGTCCTCCGTGAGATGCTCATCGGGAAGCCTTGCGAACAGCCTACCCCCCTCCCGCGAGTCGGAGAACTGCTCGAGAGCGAACTGATTGACGATCTGCGCCACTTCCTCGCGTTCATGTTCTGCCAAACGCTCCCAAAACACCACTAGATACCCACTTTCGGGCTCCTCTTGGGCGTTTTCCGCTTTGAATCCATTGAATTTCTCCCTAATGTAGTCTTTTTGCAAAAAGTCCTTCTCACTGCCATCATGAGCCCACCCAACACTGAGGATGGACTCCATCATATGGTGACGATAACCATCCTTCGTGTTGCCTTTGAGCACATCGTAGCACCTCTCGCCACTGTGGGGTTCGGAAAACAACACAAGTGTCATGAAGTTATCATCTTTGAGGATATACGAGGTGTGGGAGCTAATCTTTCCAAATGCGTCTAATTCTCGCACAAGAGCATCTGGTTGCAAACTGGATTGATGTAGAATCGCCAATCTATGGGTTTCACTAAGGTAGATCTTAACCCTTTGCATTTTACTAATACACCTATGCATATATATATATATATATATATATATCAAGTAAAGGAGTCAAAAAAAATATTTATCCATCAATAACGTGTATACACCTCGCATAGTCGATACAATACATAGTGTTCTCATCTTTTATATTTTTTCCATCCCTTTGAAGACGAACAAAGGGAAAATTTTATTTTGTAAAAATACAATATAAAGGTTTAACAGTGGATCTAATAAATAAACAAAGATAACGGTGTTATGCCTTCAGGTAATGATTCACTTTTTATTTTGCCTTTTTGGTACAGTTCTGTCGATTTTAGTGTTCGAGGATAAGGCTAAATATATCTTCTATAAAAGGTACGTTCTGAGTATTCTGAGAAGATGCCGATTTAGACTATGCGAACGAATTTACCATATTCGGGGATTATTCAATATTTTGCTTGACTGAAAGCAATACCACCTTTTTAGGCTCATGAGTGGGCGGGTAATAGACGAAGTGATAGAGGCAATCTTTAAAAAATTGGCAATATATTATATATTGCTTTCACACTTTCCTTTTTGGGTTTGAAAAACAAACACAAACATATTTTTAGGCACTGCAGAAAAACAAATTCACGATGCGTTCTCCCCTTTCTGACTTCCAGCGAAACTTCAGCAGGGAGAGGTCGTCGTCGCTAAATCCTATCGTGAGTTTCGGCTCGACTTTACTATCCGTCATGCACAACGCAGCGAATGCGCGCAGATCCTTACAGTTGACCGTTCCCCGAAGTGCGGGATCAACGGAGTTTCCTATCGACAATCCACCAAGATGAACAGATACTTTAAGCATTTCCATGGAAAGCAAGAGAAGGCAGGCGTCGTTTTCATCCCACACGAGCGAAAGAGCGCACGTCTCGTCGTCGTAGGCGCTCGTCGCGCGCACCATCTGCTTAAAGCCTTGAATATCGCGTATGCAAAACATAGTATCAATGCTATGATCGACGATCAGCTGCGGGCCTAGTTCGTAGAGTGCGCATATCTGAATCACCTGAACACATCCGTCCTCTTCACGATGCTGATATACTAAAAGACGACCGGAATCCTCCTCAAGCTCGAACGTCAGGGGGGTCCTCTCATCAAAACAGCGCAAGCTCTTCGCAAGAAGGGCACTGTTAATCGCGAGCTTTTGCTTATCGTCACTCGTGATTTGCTTCTCCGAAGTCTCTTTATTTTCAAAGCAAATGTCGGTGTAGCTGTAGGGGTGCACCTGCACAGTGGAGACGAGCAAGTTGCTGCAGCTGTTATTCTCCGACCAGAAGGTGAACTTTAGGGTATCATCGAACTCGGCGAGATACGTCACCGGTTTTTGAATTTCAAGTGCCGTCTCGAAGGTAAAGGTTCGCATAATCCCTATCTATCTCTATGTATATATGGATATATACTTGTACAAATTTTTCAAATGCTAGTAGAAATTCCTTGACCGAGTTATTACCACGTTATGGATACAGGCGTCTTTTGACAACTGGATCGCCCTCTGAATAAGTGTTTCTATGGCAAGAAATAATGATTAAAAAGAAAAGTTATGAATAAAAAAGTAGAGTTCTCATTGAAAGTCGCTAAGCAACAGCGGAAGGAAGGATGAATACATACTTCTAAAGCTACTATGTTCTTTGTTTTTTAATTACAACTTGCAGTTAAGCACTTTAGTTTCCATCCTTTGTCATCCCCTTCAAATCAAATCCCTCGTGTAAGTGTTTCAAAGCGCTATCAGGTCCTTCTAGTTCTGCAAGAGCCGCAACTTTACGTTTCAAGTTGTCTCTTGCTTCTTCAATTAGGGCTTCCACTTCATGCTGCTCCCACTCTAGGTACTTGATTGACGACGCGTGCGAGAGATCACAGGAGACGAAGGTGGATCCACTGCACAGCATCCAGACATCTTCCATATCAGGTTTGTGCTTTAAAAGGTGGCGTTTTGCTTCGCGAATTTGATTTTGCCTGCGATCAAGCTCGATCAGATAAAACCGTGCCTCAGAGACCTGATCTATGGCAAACTCGAGGTCTATTTCTTCTCTAGGAATATCGTTCATGACGTCATGGCAAGCTATCTCGCGTGAGGTTTGTGAACAGGGAAAAAGTTTGAGATCGACAAGGGGAAGAGGGAAATGAGAATCAAATAGAGACAACTACACTGTGTAGAGGCTTGTATCCTCAGCATCGTATAGAGAGAAAATAGGATAAATAAAAAAGCGTACAGCATAGGGAGGCTAAGCCATGGAATATTACATAGTAATACAGTTCTCTTCTTAGGTTGCTCAGTCTTACTTCTAAAATTCCATAGAATTGTCCTCCTTTTTGTTACTTTTCCCTTTTTTCCTCTTTCAAAAATAAAAATGCATCTGGCGGTCGGTTGTCTGCTTCCTGCTTATAATTTTACACAGGATCAGACGACCTCTTCAACATCTGAACTTCGTTATGTGAACTATTAATAATAATAATATTAATAATAAAAAAGGTTATGATAAAGTGGCGTGATGTGCAAGGTACTTCACTATTGAGACTCCCTTTTATTTATTGGCCGCCCTGCGCAGGATCCGGCTTGATCTCACCACAGTCCGAAATCTTAATCGGCACCCGCGTCCCGCCGTTTCGACTTCCCTGCTCCTCCATCTTCAACACCACATCATACCCATCGATGACCTGCCCAAACACGACATGCTTCCCATCCAACCACTCCGTGTTCGCCGTGCAGATGAAGAACTGCGAGCCGTTCGTGTTGGGTCCAGCGTTCGCCATGGAGAGCGTCCCGGGCCCGAAGTGCTTCCCCGCGCGGCCGGAGAAGCTTTCGTCGGGGAACTTCGCGCCGTAGATGGACTCCCCGCCGGTGCCATTCCCCGCCGTGAAGTCGCCGCCCTGACACATGAAGTTCGGGATGACCCGGTGGAAGGTACTGCCTTTGTACCACAGCGGACGGCCCGCGCGGCCCACCCCCTTTTCGCCCGTGCAAAGCGCCCGGAAGTTCTCCGCGGTCTTCGGCACGACGTCCGCGAAGAGCTCCATGGTGACACGGCCCGCGGGCTGTGCGCCGACGGTGACGTCAAAGAAGACCACCGGGTTCTTTGGGTTCGTCGGGTAGAAGGGGATCTTCCGCTGAAGGTGGGACAGGGCTTGACGGAACATGGCAGAGTAGACCGGAGTGTCTGTGTGTGTGTGTGCGGTGGGTGTTAAAGGGATGGTAAGATATAGACGTGTAACGGTTGTGGTAGCTTTGGATGACCCAGAAGGGGGGGGGGGTGGGTCACGCCCATCCAGAAAAGAGAGGGAAGGGAGGAGAAATGATGGTAAAAAGCAATCCAAACGGACTCCATACAACCTCTTGGAAGGTTTAACAGAACACCAAACCGTGGAAAGAATTAATCCTACTGGAGGAAAAAAAGAATGCAGCCATCGGTGTGAGTTGAGAAGCGATAGAACAGCAAACAAAAGGAAACTTTCTACCTCATTCCTTTCTCGGAATCACCAAATTACGCGGAAGGTTGCATAAAAGTTTTGCGCTGGGCAATACAAGGACTAATAGCCGTTTAGTGCTTGCTGCTTGGACTTTGAAATAATTTAATGCCATTATTTATGCCTATACATTGTTGTTTGTGTATTTATCCTTGATATGATTGATAATGCGTTGACATGGGAGACGATCATGGTGCTTTTCCATAGCGATGGTTGTCAAATCCACGACGATATGAGGCGAGACATCGCCAAGTAGTTTCAAAACCTCTTCAAGTACGGGTCGAATCCCAATATTTTCATCAATATCGTCAAGATAAATAAGAATTTTCCGCGCCAAAGGAACGATTTGGGCTTCAATTTCCTTAATTATACGCGGAGAGACCTCTTTTTCACAGAGCATGACCTCTCGGAGGGCTGTAGCGCTACGCAGACGAACCACTTCACTGCCGTCGTCAAAGCGAATTAAAAGGGACTGCACTAATTCGTTAGCGCAGCCTTCTGACATTGGAAGCTTACAAACCTCCGCGAAGGTCGTCATACACGCCAGCCGCATCTCCCCGTCATCGCCGTCGGACGCCGATGCCCACTGCAGAGCGACTTTCGAACCCAAACTCGATTCATCTTCGGAGAGCTTCTCTGCGAGCAGTTCTCGATATTCCTTCTGAGCATAAGCGCAAATGCAGTTGACAGCGACCTTTCGGAAAAGGTGAGCGACGTTCCCCGGGTGAAACGTCGCGAGCGGGAGCACGACACTTCGTAGGAGCGCCTCGAGATCCTCCGCGCTAAACACGCCGCGGCGATCCCACAGAAGCCGCTCAAGAACCACAAAAAGGCGGAGTTCGTCGGTGATTCGCAGCGTAAAATCGACCGCCCCAAGGCGGGCGTAAAAGATCTCGCGGAGCTGTTGCCCAACGCGGGAATCTAAATCGGCGTGAAGGAGCAAATCCGCGAGTGCGGCGACCGGGAACGACGCAGCGTAGCGCAGCAGCAGCCGATGGAGATGCAACGAATAGATCCCAAGCGGGGTGCCCGTGACGAGATTTGAAAGCTCCTCAATACAGTGACTCGTCTGCGAAACGACCTTGGGAAAAGTGTAGCATTTCAACCGCAAAAGGGCATAAAGAAGAACGGAGTCTAATGTGCGCTGCTGCGGATCGTTTTTGATCTCCTCCGGAAGGGGACGGCTCGGGGAGGAGATGAAGCCGCGCCTTGAGTAGACGCCGAACAAGATCAGCATTGTGGAGAGGAGAGAAAGGAGCATATCCTCATTTTCACACTCGATGATATCTTTTGATGTAATCACTTGAACAATGAGTGTCGCGTCTGTGGCGGTGAGATGCGATTCGGAACTTTTAAGAAAATATCCTAATGCGATGAGAATCGAGCATTTTGTTGTGGTGGCAGCGGTAGAAAAGAGGGTTGGCATCTGTTCTTTTGTTTCACCCGTTTCCGACAGAATAACCGTTTTCGTACGTGTTTTCTCGACGGTGATGAATGTCTCATCCTCTTCCTGCTTTGGTTTTGCGATGAGAAAGGGTAGGTATTGGCTTGGCGTTAAGAACCGGGAAACCATTTCGACGCACAAAAGCGCTTCCTTTCGCACCTCCTCGTTATCATCACGCATCACCTTGTAGAGCGATGATAGAATTCGATCGCATACTTGGACGATTGATTTCTCACAGTGGAAAATTACGTTCCATAGGATTCGGAGAGCCACGGTTTTACGGTTATTCGTTGAATACGGGATCACCCAATCAATAGAACCTATATCCGCGAGAATTTTTTGTAGAAAATTTCGCGAAGCCTCCGCTATCGCGCACCTCGTTCCCAACGGAGGGCGTTGCCTTAAAATAGGATACCTCTCAAGTATCTCTTCGTCTAGACCTGTGCCTTGGTACTCATCATCTGCGTACCACTCGATATCCTTGGCGTTTATACGCCTCTTCGCTAGGTCGATTCGATTGTCCTCATTGTCGAACATGTAAAGCTTGCCGACCTTTTCCAATATTTCACACGCTTCCACCCGGACTCGTTCAAAAGGATCGCTAGAGAGGAGTAAGAGGTGTGGTAGGTAGGTCCGGTGCTGGTCGAGCCGCTCTTTGATATCCAACAAGGCGCATGACAGAACGCTCAACACCCCATACCGAACCGCTTCGCTATGATCATTCGCGAGCACGAAAAGAAGCGTCGCGGTGGTTTGATTCTCCGGTTCGTCCTTTTCCTCTCCAAGGATCTCCGCCGCGCCGTGTTGAATCAGCACTGCTAACACGCCCACGGCAGCGCAGCGAACTGCGCTATGCTTGTGCATCACGCACGTCAACTTCACACGCCGCGCCAAGGCGGGGCTAATCGCTTGCACCCGCTGCGGCTCCAGTGAGCACAGCGTCTTGATCACCTCGCAGGCCTCCTTCTTGAGCTCCGGGAACGGATCGAGCAGGCAGTTTTCAAGAAGCACCTGGAAGAAGTCGATGAAGTTACCCCTCACGATTTCGTGCGGGAATTCGCTCAGGCAGAGCGCGGCGAGCCGGAGGAGGAGCAGGCGAACTTCCTCACTCGTCTCGACGACTGGCGAGACGCCGATGCGGGTGACGACAACCGGCAACACCCAATCCAGCACCGACGCCGTCTGCCCTTCCAGCAGCGACAACACGATCAAAACAGCCTCTTCGCGGCAGCGCTCGGAACCATCCTCGAAGCCGCGCAGACAGCCGCGGATGATGTCAAACCCCTCCGTCAAGCTCAGCTGCTCCCGGCAGGCGGAGGCGAAGTGCTTGAGCATGCGATACGCCTCGATCCGCCGTGCTTTGTTGCCATCCTGCAGCTCGTTCAGATACTTTGGCAGGAGATCCATTTTGGTCACAGGATTCTTTGCTTATTTGTGTATGTGTGTGTGTGTAGGGTTGTGTCACTGTGTCACGATGGTTATCCTTTTTTTTTGCCTAGAGATTTATCGGAGCTATGATTAGATGAATTCAAGCGAAACCTTGGGGTGGAGATGACCTCCTGTGAGAAGTTCAGGCATTGGATTATGAGGTTGGACCTATGTGTGTGCGCATATACACACACCCACACACATACATATGCATATATCCATGTATTTATTGCACACGCTTCACCCTGTCTTGGGGTTCATTTCTCAGTTTAAACACTTGCATCAGTATTTTTGCACTCGTTAGATCACAGGGTAATTTTATTGACGAAATTATATATTCAAGAACCTGCTGCCTTCACGAAGAACGCTCGATAAATGAACAAGTATCAAAAGTCCTCACTTGAAGTGGTTGTTCAGAATAGATGTGTGCTTGCTTTTTTGGCTCATGTTTCTCTTCCTCCCTTTTCAATGAAGACTGAAGAAATCAAATTTCACAGGGAAAGAGAGAAAATGAATAGCAAAACGTGCCGTCCTCTCAATTTTTAACGTGGGGGAGGAGGAAGCGAGATATTTTCGTATAGCTTTGGCAAATAGGAAACTTCTCCCTACATTATTCGCTTAAGAAGGACGATATGGCCCATCTGTTAAGTTGTCTGATATTAGACCCATACGGCTTGCCTTTTGTGCATCCATACCACGCACTTTTAGCGAGAGGAGGTTGCCCTCCAGCCACTGCTCATCGCCGTGGAGGTTATCCTCAGGGCTATCAACATCGCGTTCAGTTGGCGCCGGTGCCTCTGCCGCTTGGTTTATCTTTTCGCTTTTCCCTACAGCCTCTTCTACCGCATCCGCCGCCTCTTGATCAACCCGGTTTAATATCATGATAAACTCCCGAAGGAGGTTCGAACAGTACGTCTCCGCAGGTAGCGTGAGATGCATGATCAAGCACTTCGAGAGCGCGCTGGGGGTCGTCGCGGCGGCCTCGCGGAGCGCCGTCGAGGCGAGTAATCCGGCGGGAAGACGATCCGCCATCGTGCGACCGCGGCGGTCGATCGGGCGACACCTTGCCAGCCCGCTACGACCGCGCGATTTCGCCGTGAAGTCTGTTCCCCCAGCGACGAGATCGAGATCGCTCGAGAGGCGATATTCCGCGGAAGAGGGAGAATCGACCTCGCTGCCGCTGAGGGGCTCGTCGAACTCGCGAACCCAAGCGCCGGATGCACGTCCTGTCGTCTGCGCGAACAGCGCGCGAAACGCCACCGGAGCGGTGGTGACTGGGGTTGTCGTTAAGGCGGTGGGCAAAGGATCACCGGCGTGGCGAAATCCCAGACGCTTCGCCAACCTGTTGAGGGCGGCGCAGTCTTTGGTGTTGAATAGCGGGATTAGGAGATCATGAAGGGTGAACGCGGCAGCCTGCGCGGCCGACGTGAGCTGGATTACCCCTCTCCCTACAGAAGCCTCGTCGGAGTTACCATTTCGCGTGGCGTGGAGGGGGCGACGATGCGAGGACTGAAGCACGCCCATGAGCGTTGCTTCTTGCTTAGGACTACGACAACAATGCAAAGGAGTGCGTTCACCTCCGCGCGTTGAATCCGCCACTACGACAAAGTCGCCTTGCTCCGGACTGGCACCGATCATGGCATCTCTGCCACCGCCGCGGTGTTGTTGAATCCGACAGCTCGCCAGCACATTCCACAGAAGATCGGCCTTTGCTTGGCAAAACAGCTCTAGCAGGGCAGGGGGAAGAACCTCCAGGACCCATTCCCGCCACAACCCCTGCCTTTCCTCACCCCCTTCTAAGAGGGAGACTGCGCGTGATATCCAAGCGTTGTCTTCCTTTGAAACCGTGCGTTTCCGCGCCGACCACTGCGCTAAACAAACCGCCATCATCATCGCCTCGGCGAATTCCCCCTTTTCGAACGCTGCGGCGACGTCGTAGGTTCGAAACGGGCAATCCAACGGGCCGAAATGCCGCGGCGCGAAGAAGTTCGGAATCGCCGCCGCGCACGCACGCACGAGCGGCTCCAAGTGATTCATCCGCCTCGTGACGCTGCGGATTAGCATCGCGTACTGAACCCGGCAGTGTGGGGCGAGCGCCTGCGAGCAGCCAAAGCGCCTCCAGCCGAGCACCTGCACGGAAAGTGGCAGCGGCCGAAGATTCACATGAAGGAGCCTGCTAAGTTCACTTTCCGCGCGCGTGAGGAGCTCGTCCTCCTCTGTCACAGTCCCTTCCGGCAATACCAAACGCGCACTGCACGTCTGCACGCACACCATGCTATCTTCTAGGTTCACATTCACCTCAAAGCGATCCCAAAAAGGCGATTTGCTGGCAGTAGCAGTAGCAGTAACCTCCGTGAGAATTCTTACCGCGTCGACAAAGGGTAGGCACTCACGATAGAGAACGAAGTGGAGAAAGGCGACTGTGCCACCGCCCTCCGCTCGGCACGTTTTCCTTTCCTTCAGCACGCTTCGGAGGCTCTTCGTAAAGGCGCCCACTCGATCTGGCTGTGTAGGCCGCGTGAGACACACCACGCGGCCGTTCGGGAGCACTTCGCTGACCTGCACATCGCTGGGGTAGCGAATTACCCCACGGCAGGAGAGGCGCCGCCCGAGACGACTCCCTACCCCGGCCGCGAGCTCCACCGCGGCGATCCCTGCACCGCCCCCTTGTTGGGCTTGCCTTCCTCCCTCCCAACGCGACCAAAGCCGCTCCCAACGCACCGCCTTGACGGTGCGCAGCGTCTGTCGAGCCTTCCGTGCGAGCGCCGCGGCGGACGCCGGCCGGACGTGTTCGGCCACCCGCCGCATGACGGCCTCGTCCAGAGGGGGACAGTAACCCGCCACCGCTCGTCGTAGACCCCCCTTACTAAGCACAATCTTAGTAGGACTACTGGTATTGTCACTGGTAGTCCTGCTGGTATTGTCACTGGTAGTCCTGCTGGTATTGTCATTGGTAGTCCTGCTGGTATTGTCATTGGTAGTCCTGCTAGTATTGTCACTGGTAGTCCTGTTAGTATTATTCATAGTGGTATTGTGAACCTGACTATTGGGGGCGCGTCTTTCCTCCAAATCCCTCCCCTCGCTCTTTTCCTCTCCTTCCACAGCGACGCTTGGGTGAGGGGTTAGATATCGCAAAAAGGAACGTTGGAGTTCGTCAAGGGGAAGGGGGTCCCTGTCCCCCCCTTTCCCAAGAGCGGAGGGGAGGGGGGAGGGATACGGTGGACTTTTCACATCGCGCGCAAGACGCTTACTCAGTTCCGCTAATGTGGGCGTGATAAAGGGATGAGAGGATGCACTACCTAATGAATTTCTTGAAGGCCTCATCCATTTTCGCTTCCCTTCTGTCGTACTTCTTCGAACCCTCGACATCGCCGCGGCGACGGAGGAAATCCCTCGATTCAGCATAACCGCGCACACACGCATCTTGAGATTTTTTATCAGCTTCCCTGAGTTTCGTTATGCAAAAAAGAGAGAAGAATATTGCTATGAAATCATCAATACCATTGCATACGGAAGAGTAACAAAAAAAGGGCACACAATTAAGCAGGAAAAGGAATTTTCTTAGTGAGATACATCGTATCACGCGAAGAGCAATTTTTTAAATTTTTTTTGCCATTAAACCTTTAAATCAAGACAAAAAAAGCAAGCAAACACAGATTTTTATTGGTAAAAGAGAGAATGGGCTTTTTATCGCCCAAAATAGTTATACTCATCTGTGAACGGTCTTAACAATTGAAAAAAAAGGTTCCCCGTTGCGTTAATACATCTTTTAGAGCTTGTACCACGACCCTTTCAAAGCTCATTTATATCATTTCGAAGCTTCGACGCGTGGGCTAGTCTTTTGTGATCTCCATTCAAAAAAGCGAAGCGGGTGGTTAGCTCCACGAAGAGTTGAAAGTCAATCAACTTATTTAATAGCCGAAAAACGGCGCAGGTAAGGCCTTGGTCTCGCACTGTAAGGCGACCGGCGGAGGCGAAGATATGATCAGCGATATTCATCGGCATCGCCGCAGCCTTTTGCGCGGTTTGCAGCGAGCTCAATGCGGGACCTTCGTTTTTGTAAAAGTTCGTATTCACCGGTGAGGGGTGAATCACAACAACGTCGATGCCGACGTCGTGATTTTCCGCCGCTAAGGTGCTCGCGAAGTTGGTCAGAAAGGCCTTTGTCGGGCTGTAAAGTGTGGCGGTCGGTCCCGGAAGGTAACACGACGCGGATGAGGTAAACGAAATCAGGCCTCGGCTCCGATGTGAAATCATTTTACGCAAAAAGTGATGCGTAATCGGGATCACACTGCCCGCGTTGCACTCGAAATTGCATCGTAGCCGCTCCAGATCGGTATCAGCGAAGAGCCCGGTGGTGATATATCCGGCGTTGTTAAAAAGCAGCTGCACGTGAATATCTTCCGTGGCCGCAATGATAGGCTTCATGTACGACGCGCTGTTCACCTCGCCGAGATTCACCCCAACCTTGCGAAACTTCACGCTTGGAAACCTTTTGGTGAGTTCCTCGAAGGTTTTATCGAGCATCGCGTCGCCAAGCGCCACAAGCACCACGTTAATCCCCTGCATCGCGAGCTTCTCGGAGATTGCTTTACCGATCCCACTGCTTCCACCCGTAACGACTGCCCACTCGGCTTTGTATTTTTTACGCAGGTTCTGCGGTATCTTGAGCGAGATCCACTGCAAGCATACTCCAATGAGGTAAGTAAGCATGCTGAGCAACCCGATCCAACCACAGATGTAGCAAAACGCTGCCCAGATCCATGTGTCGATATAAATCATCCCTTCTTTTTTTAAAAATTGTAGTGTTGAAAATATTATTGAATGTGTAAGTTTTCTAGTTTTGCGGTCATTAAAAAAAAGTAAATAGGAACAAATAGGGCAATAAAATCAGTGCACACGCTTCTTCGTCTGGGTATGAAATTCGTTGAAAGCGAAGAAGTAGTTTATTTTAGACACATACGTACGTGGATGGATACAAATATAGCACTACCCTTCCAAAGCCCCACTCAAAAGATGAAAGGGCAAATCTAAGCAGGCATACACAAAAAAAGCATAGCAGATTCAACTACCAAATATAATACTATCAAAAGGACTTCCCCCTCATGGAGATGGGACAGCGAGTTTAGTAGGCGTAGAAATTCGCCAAAAGTTGGGAAGTCAAGCACGAGGAGGCGTCAGGTCGCTCGGAAGGGGTGGTTTGTGGTGGCTTTTCCATCCCTTGAGGGGCTTGCGCGTGCACGTCGAACACCACCAGACGCGCGAAGAGGCGTTGAAACATCTCAGGCACTTCCAAGGTGTTTGTTTCTTCCCCTTTCTTCCCTTGCCACTGCGCTACTGCGGCGGAGGAAGAAGAAGGGGGGGAACCGCATTTGCCATTCTCGTAGGCCGCGGTGAGCGTCAACCCCTTCCATCGGTGATCCCACTGAAAGACGAACAACCCACAACCCTGCCGCATCGCCGTTGGCTGCGGAAAAAGCACGGAAAAGGCGAAAGGGATGGGGTTGGATTTCCCCCCTTCGACGGCGAGCGCGCGCTCACAGTGGTGCACCACCCCTTGCCGACGGGGATCGCAGAGAAACAAATGGAGCGTCCCGGCGTCGGTGATGCAGGCAACGAGCGCGCGCGGAGTGGAGAGGCCGTTATCATCACCCTTCTCATCATCATCGTGATCCACACCGGGCAAGAGGATGAGATGGAGGGAGACAGAATCCACCCGAGCGGCGGTTCGCCCTCGTTCAAACGTCAGACGCTCCACAATGAGGTTGTCGTCGCGGAATTCGAGCAGACGGAGTTTCGTTCCCGCCTCGCCGATGGTGACGCCGAATCGTCCATCCGGTGTGATCGCGACCGCGCGGAGAGGGGAGCGATGGAGCAGTTTATCCCCCAAAAGAAAACGCACCTCCCCTTCCCTATCAGGCGGACGTGTCGTGGGGAAACCTTTCCCCACCGCATCGGCCGCGTAGGTGGCGGTTTTCAGCGTGAGCAGACGAAGCTGCCCTTTCTTCTCCCCAGGAAGCATCACACGGAGGCGGTTGATCGACATCCCCGCCCCCACCGCGGGCGCCCAGAGGCTCGCCATCGCCACGGCATCCTGCAAAAACGCGTTGCTCGCGGGAGGGAACGCCTCCAAGACGTGTTTCTGTGTGAGATATCGATCAAAAACGTAAAATCGATGGGATCCCACCACGCGAGGGTCCCCGGCGAGCCCGACAATGACGCATGACGGGCCGTAGTGGAGGGCCGCCACGGTCGTGGGAAGGCGCGCCTCGGCGAGCACCCCACACAGCCGTGGCTTTGCCTTTTCCACCCCGCCAAGCCCTTTATCCGTTGCCTCATCGCCTTCACTCGCTTCTGTTTCGGTTTCTTCGTTTGCTTCGTCTTCGTTTGTTTCTTTTTTTGGTCGAATTCGCCGGGGGTGGGGGGCTCGCCAAGGGAGGCTCGCGTCGAGTAGCCTCACCGTGGCGGCGTGCGCCCGCGTTCGGACGCCGCTCACCGCGACGACGCTGCTCTGCCCGTGTAACCCCAACAACCCCACCCCGCCTTCGACGATCCGACGAAACACCTCCTCCATCGCCTTCGCGGGCGGCGAAGACGCGGCGGGCTCCGCGATAGAAGAGGTCGTGGAAGGCCCTCCTTGGAAAGAAGGGGTTCGCCGTCGAATCACCCCTTCCAAGGCGCTCTCCATGCTGAAAATGAGAAACCCGGACGGGGTGCCGATCCCTAGGTTGCGCCCCAACGCCGTCCACGTTACGCAGGTGACGGTGCGAAAGTCATCGAGGAAGGGCAAATCGCGAGCGATCGCGGGCGCGAGAGGCATACGAACGTCCCTTTCACGAGTTCTTTCGTTCCTAATGAGGTCGGTTTTGATTCCACCCTCCCCCCCCCCCCAAAAAAAAAAAGAAGAAATGATAGGATAAAAACAAAAGGGAAATAAAGGAAATAATCTATCACGAAATCCGCTCGTGTTTTGTTTTTTTTCTCTCTCAGTTGAATACCCCATAACGCACGGGTTTCTCCTTTTTACGAGATAGATGATACTTGCTAGAGGACGTCCATAACCCTGGCATTTCTCCCTGTTGTGAACCCACAAGTGGGTTCGAAGTCAAAAGCGTTGAGGCACTTCATATCATTGCTCCAATAACAACCACAAAACAGCCCTTAGCTTCCACTCCCCTGAAAAGCCATTGCCAGCAAAGTATTTCATTACTATTCTTCCTTCCTCTTTCATTCCCCTTGATCCAGATGTTGAGAAGGTAGGAGACGAAATCTGTGAATTCGATTTACCTTTTCAGGCCGGATTGCCTTAAATTCTCCTCGCGTGTCGTCATCCGGCGAACCATTTCTCCACATTCCAGCATCGCCTTTTTGTGAATAGAGACGGAGTTCTTTTGGTTTCGCGCGGTGCTCGCGGAGGCGTGGCTTAGCGTGGGAACCCCTAACGAGCGAAAGAGGCGTTGCTCGCTCGGGTGCGAGATCATCACCAAGGCGCTGGGGAACCCCTCACTTGTTTCCTCTGTTTCCGTTTCCCCGTTCGCCTTCGCCGCGTTTCGACGCCGGATGTACGCTCGGTAGAGGCTGTAGCGCAGCAAATACGCGAGGCGAATTGGGGTGCGCTCGCACAGCGCGGCGAGGGAAAGATTCCTTCGTATCGCCGCGTCCACCTCCGTTGTAGGATTAGGATCCGCCCCTCTGAGGGTTAGCAGTACCTCGCGAACGCGCGGAAGCTGACAAAGCATCTCAAACTCCTCCGTTGGCCTGGAGAGGTGAAGTTTGATGAGCGGAGCCGGCGCGGAGGGGGGCGTCGTGAGGCGTTTGAGATCGGCCTGGAGCTGAAAGGCGTGGTGGATGCCTTGGAGGAGGGATTGCCGCGCACAACGCTCCTGCAGCGAAGTGGCAGTTGCCGAGGCGCTAGGGCGGAGGTGCGCCTCGTGTTTGATCTGCCAAAGGCAAGAAAAGGGGATCGTTAGATGAACGGTCCGATCGCTGCTAGTAGGCGTCGCTTTACCCACCCCCTTCCCAACGAGCTCAGATCGATCCTCTTTAAAGGTGCGAAGCAACTCACCCTGGCGTCGAAGCTCCGCCGTCCAGTGAGTTAAACAACTCCCTCCTAAGAGCGGCTCCGTCATAAATTTCGGTGTGAACACCTCGAGCATATTGTTTTTCCCACCCTCAACCTCATAACACCAATCGGCAGCGGACAATGACTCCGTGGGATCGTCGCGCGGGTTTAAATACCACAAATCCGAGCGAGTCGCTTCCATCTGCGCACCACCTTTTTCCTTTTCCGATTTTTCACTATTACCTCGCTCGATTGAGATCATGCTCTGGAGCTCGTTTGGGTTGCTAGGTACGAGGACCTGGTTCCACCGCGAAGCCAGTAGACTGCTTAGTAACATCGAATCCACAATATCGTGTACTTGTTGTATAAAAAGGGACTTTTCGGCTCTTTTAGCATCAGCAATCGCCGCAGTGTGGGGAGCCTTACCAAGTGAATCCACATACAACGACAACCACTGGGCGTACGGAATGTGCGTTGCATCACGATGCGGAGCAGACTTTAATAACGCCGCAAAAGGTGCTATAGCTTTGAAAAGACTAGATCCGGACGCCGCGGATGCCATCACGTGTACTCCCCTAGCCTTGTTCAGTCTAATTGATCGGTTTACACCGGGGAGAGAAAAAAGAAGCGGTTTAGATCAGTTCACATTCGGCCTCAGAAAGGGGGGAAAAACATATACACTCATGTACCAATAGGAAGGGAAGTGTGTGGTGGGTGACTGTATCGAGGGGTTGGTTTCCTCTATTCGTTGTTAATGGAGACCAAACCTGTTGAAGCCAAGACTAAAAAGATTTATTACTCTTTTCGATGCCACTGAGCGATTATGATAATAATAAACAAGCAATCAACACCACAAAAATATACACTTTTCAATTTCCAACCATTTGTATCAAAAATATTTCCACTCCCACTAAACAACTGACTGAAGTAGCGGATGAAGTCTACCTATTAATTTTAGCCCTCCTGAGTTTCCAGAATGTCCATCAAACGAAGAATCGAAAAAGAAAACCTAGTATGGGTGCTTCTTTATGAGCGTATATACTTCGCGACGGTATCCCGCAGCCCCGCAATGGCTTTCTTGCGATCCTTTGCGTTAAATATGTAAGTCCCTGCCACGACCACATTCGCCCCAGCGGCGGCCGCCTCGTCGATCGTCTTGTCTGAAATCCCGCCATCGACCTGAATATTGAGGTACGGGTACGACGCACGGAGCGCCTTCACCTTTGGCATCATATCCGCCATGAAGGACTGCCCGCCAAACCCAGGCTCCACCGTCATGACGAGGACCATATCCACGAGGCCTGCCTCCAGCACCGCGGTGAGCGCCCCGTCGACTTGCGTCGCCGGTTTGATCGCGATCCCAACCTGCATCCCGGCGGCGCGAATCCCCCGCGCGACGGCCGCGGGATCCACCGCCGCCTCGAGGTGAAAACACATCAGGGAGGCGCCCGCGCTTGCGAGCTCCTCCACCCACCGCATCGGCGTTTCGATCATGCAGTGGACGTCGAGAAAGGCGTCCGGAAAGCGTTTCCGCAATGCGCGGACGATGCAGGGGCCAATGGTGAGGTTCGGCACGAAATGCCCGTCCATCACATCCACATGCACCCACTCACACCCACCAGGAGAGGAGAGGATCGTTTCGCACTCCTCTCCTAACCGTGCGAAGTCGCAGCTCAGGATGGATGGGGAGATTAGTGGGAGAAGAGCGGGGCCCGAGGTGGGGTCACGCGCCAAGGGATCCTGAACAGGGGCTTTTTCATGAGACGTCATTGAAAATGAGTCTAAGGAACTTCCTCTCGTGTATGTGTATGAATGTGTCACACACTTTCTCTCTTTCTCTGTATATATATATATATATACAATTAAGCGTATTCAACGTGTCCTATATGAGTGTGTCACAAACAAGTAAACCCAAAAAACATACAAAGGGAAACATTAGAGATTTGGTTTGTTATCTTAGAAAAGCATCATCCCCCTTGTGAGATCTACAATACGCATGGGCTCCGCTCACATATAAGAGAGGGAAAACAACGCTGAGAAGCCATCCACATCCTGGTGCGCGCTACCGCGATCGTCTTGGTTACTTAGTTGGAGACATTCCATCAGGCATGCTTTTCAGAGTAAACGTCTTTTGAAAAGCATGCTGTCCCAATGCTCATGGATATATTGTATCAGACGAATACGCTCAAGATTAGCGCAGCTCCACCGTCAATTCAGTAGGCTAGATGCTATTATGAACATTTCGTATTTTTCGAAAAGGGAAGAATGAAAACCGTATGTGCTATCGTTGAGTGTTCCTTTTTTCTAAAGATCTCAACATACTTAAATACTTGCCATGCGCAAACCGTTCTCTCGCTGTTCTTTAAGCACAATAGCACCGACCCGCCTGAAGAGGAGGTTTCATGCCAACTATCTGCACCGAGCTGACAGGTTCAACAAGTCTACGGAAAGGAAAATACTCACCGTCGTAACACGCTGGAAATATCCAACCCACATCCTACACAAATGGTTGAAAGGCTACACCCTTTCCCCTTCCTCGTTGCCCGCGATGCGATTCTCAAGGAGCACGCCACTTTAGCTACAGGAGGCGAGCAGAATTAGTGATTCCTCCGTGCAGTACACCCGTTTAGAATGCTCCCACATCTTCCGCACAAGCTCCGGTAGCTTTTCGAGTGCCTCTAGGAGACTATACGTCGATGCATAGAGCTCATATGAAACGTTTTCCACGCTTTCCTGCCCAACCTCCAACCCAGTTGCAGGGCGAGGAGGTGCATCCGCCTCGTTTGATTCCCTCTGGAGGAGCTGCGAGAGCGCCGCCGCGGGGGAGTGGCCTTCCCCTCGGTGAAGATCCCGCCGGAGCGCGAGCACGCTTTCTTGCAGCACGCTTTCCATCTTAATCAACGCGGCGAGAAGGCCATAGGTGCCTATGCAAAGCTGCGCACGCGATCCCAACCCCCTCCGTCGCGCACAATCGTCCATGTGAGGTGGGGAAGCGCCCTCGATTCGCTCGAGACCTTGGCGACAGGCTACCACCTTGCGCTGCCAGGTCTGCATGGTATCGGAGATCGCTTTGAGTAGCCGCTCCTGCGTGCGTTGCTGATCCCCGACGAGGAGCTCCACCACGGCGACGGGAAACGCGCTGAGCACCCCGAGCGGCGGCGCGCACGCGACCACCGGGGGGATTACCCCGTCTATCCACGCTTTGGAATGGGAAAAAGCGGATTCACCCTTGGGGTTTACCCTTTCCCCATTTTGGTTCACCACCTCCTTTTTTTCTCCTTCGCCACGCCTCCGTGGGGTTGGCGAAGGGAGGGAGTGCGAACACGTCTGTTGATGCCGTCGGGAGGCCCCTTCGAGGCAACCCCGCTGCCGCGCCATGTTCTCCATCGCCCGAAGGTGTTGAATAACGGTCGGGATGAGATTTTGACATTCCCGGAAGCGCTCGATGACGTCGAGGACGGCCCGTTCGTGGGAGGGTTGAGTCTTTGACATCGTTTGCGTACCTTAAGGGGTTTTAGATTTCATGGATGTTGAAACAGTGCGGGAAGGAAGGATGTTTGAAGGGAAAAAGAATCATTTGATACCCCATGGGGGTTCAGAGGGAGGGTCATTGAATGAATTATAGGCAATAAAATAATAAAATTCCAGGATTAATAGTCTGCTTATTTCTCAAACTTCGAACTCTTTCACAGAGAGAATAGAGAAGAGAGATATCAAATGAATCTCAGGGATACGCAGTAGGGATACCATTACACACATGTTTCTTCTCTTACCTGTTCCATCAATACCTAGAAATACTCCTTAGCTTACTTTTGAACAAGAACATCTTGTTTTCTTATATTACCTTTGGTTATAGACAATGAAGGAGGAAGAAACGTACATAAACTTGAGATACAATTTTTAAGATTTCATTCTAAAATTACTCTATAAGGCTAAATTTGCATTAAAAATGAATAGTGCGTTACATGATCAACACCAACAACAATTTATCCCAACAATTATTCCTTGTAATAAAAAGAAAATCAATATGCCCATTCGCTACATTTTATTTATTCATTTCCACTCGCTAATTTTCAGGAATTGCAACATATGCACGCTTAGTATGTCGTGAAAGGAGCAACATGCATGTCCAATGGACGCACTACACACAGATGTGAAGATATTCATATATAAATATATGTTTGCGCTTTTAGGGCAGTTGAAAGGCGGTCTCCTGGAGGTTTGGCTGTCGTAGCGCACCATGGACGCAAACGACACCTCCTGATATTATCAGAATCAGAAAGATAACATCACTACCGTTAGTGAAGAAAAAGACGAGCAAGGCCGCAACCAAGAGGATAACATAGAGCTGAATGGGAGTAAAGCTTCTGTTGAGCACAGACACTCGGCCCATTGAATCCGCATGAAGGGATAAGCTGCGAACATGGAAAAAGAATAACAATAAAAGAAGCATACATATCGAGAAGATCGGGTTTATAAGTAGCACACAAGAGCAGCACAAAAGGGAAAGTAGGATATAGTTGTGGTAGAAGTGCGGAATATTACGTGATAGACGGAAAGGAACGTCGGATATGCTTGACGGGAAGGAAAACAGCGAGCGATCGAAGAATTCACACCATGGACGTGTGTAAGTGAACATGTTTTTCACGTTAACAGAGCTAACATGGTAAAGTGTCTTGAGTTTAGCGAGCGGGGTGTCATTGGAGGTTAAAATATCAGCGTAGCTCGCGGTGGGGGCGCCATTATTGGTTTCCACAAACTGCGTTGGAGTGTTCCCGGTGGAGTTGACAAACGAAATTGGCACCACGGAGGGTTTGTTCACGTCCGATTTATTCATTTCTTTAGAAGTCACTCCTTATTTTATGTTTAAGCCCTTAACACACTTAAAAAGAAAGTAAATAAAATAAGGACATGATATATGTGTTTATTTGATTGAGTATTCTCGGATGTTTGCGCAAGAGTATTCATGCTAATGAAAGTAAATACACTGCTATTTTCCGATTCGAGTATTCACACACACACACATCTGAGTGGTAGCACCTTCATTCTCGTAGGTAGGTAACAAAACAAAGTGGCCTATACAATTACACCTTTGCTACGAAATGTGCATCGATCCATTCTATCCTTGTTTCATCCCCTTGGTCTATTTCAACCTCACAGAGCAATATTCTTCCTCTTTCCTTTCAGGAAAAAATAATAAAGTACCCAAGCTTTTGTTTTATCACCCTTTCGTCTCTAATATTCCGGAGTGTCCTTGAAAGTTATCTTCAGTCTCTCTCGTTCTTTCTGTGCATTGGACAGATTTTCGTTCACAAGCATCTCCTCCTCTGGGCTGAGGAGTTCGCCTTCGAGGTAGACTAAGAATAGCATGATCAACATCAAGGCGTAGCGCACCAACCTCGGCCGGCATTTTTCCAGCTTTTCATCATCAAAGTACGGCGGTGTTCGCCAGATGGCGTGGGGAATGACGATAAGAAGATTCATCCAGAACACCACCAGCCCCGTCTTCACGCCGTCGAAGAAAAGAAGAATCACCAGATACGCGAAGAGCAAGGTGTGGCCGAGGATGTGGTAGGCGATTTGGAAACCCCACAGGCAGACGAAGTTGTGCGATTGACTCGTCTTGATACCGTTCACTAAGACGCCGTAGACTAGCATAGACGTGATAAAATAAACCACAAAGAATGGAAGGTTATAGAAAAACAAAAAGGGCAGCGTTATCATGCAGGATAACTCTAAATAGTTCAAAGCGTAATAAGGGACGTTTAGATTAATCCGCGAGAGCACCTCCTTCGAATTCGAAGGGAAGCTCATCCGATCGAGATTCATGAAATCCGACTGCCACGGCAGTCGATCCTTGTCGACTCTCTTGTAGATGTTCAGCAGCGTATTCACCCACTCCCACTGTACATCATCCGCATTCGAATGAAAGCCCTCCCATGAGTCTTTTGGGTACGAAGGGTAGCTTACATCAGGATCTCTAAACTCCCTTGGTTCCCTTTTTCCATCCCGAGCGCAACCTGTCGGAAGGGAATTCGCCCCTGTGGGGTGTACGTTCAATGGAGAGAAAATACCTTGAAAAAAGGATTTATCATCATCTATGTAGAGGTCGCTCATGGAGGCCTCATCTTGGTTGGAGGGGAATTGCAAAAGAGGCCCTGGCGCTCTCGACGACGTGCGAGTGTGGCGGTGCTTTGATGAATTCTCCGTGTGATGGTGCTCCGATCGGCGAAGCGAGCTCTTCGAGCTCCCCTGACGTCGTGAACGATTCGTCCTGACTTCACTGCTATGGTGGGATCGGTAGTATTCCAGCATGCTTTCCCCTTGGGGGGAGACTCTTGAAGGTGTTAGATTTCTTCTGTGCATATCAACTGATTTTCACGTCTCTTGGTTATTGCATTTTTTTCGCCTCCTTTTTGCTCTATTCAAGTGCCTATGAGTGTGAAATGCTAGCTTTTCTAAGCTCTTTCCCATGAAGGGCGAATCAAAGCGTATGATTCACAATTCAGAAAGACAGGCATTGAGGTTATGTGATACATCAAAAATATGAAGCAACAAATACGGACTAGTTAAGTCTCAACTAAATCCAAGCGCGTATCGTAATAGTGAAGCATTACATATTTTCCATTCGTCACATGATTTTAGATCCATGTGGAATGGACTTTTCTTCATCCCTGTACGAGCGTTAACATATATAAACCAAAAGTGATATCTCAGACATGTTATTCTGGTACTTTATGACGTTTTCAAAGACCTTACAGGGGCATTTTCGATTCCATCCTTCGCTTTAGGTGCCTCGCATTATCAACGCTCCTCACACTTTCAATCATCTTTCGAGTTTTTCCATCTAAGGGAGAGCACTACAGGGCCCCTATCGCGGATGTCGACATCTTAATTGGTTTCGTTAGGTTGCGCAAACAGATCCACGCTTTTTTAACTATAATTTATTATTGCATGTAAAGGACAGATGGGGCTAATGAGCGAGCACAACGCGGAGAGCTTCAATATAACAGCCCTAGGAGATCCTTTCGATGAAGGATGTGATCCGAGGCTTTTGGTGAATGCCACCCATTCATTAACCTATGGTTTGCTTCTATCCAAAAGATGATTCCCCGTGGCGGGCTGCCCCCACGCTTCGATCGAACTCAACCGAAAGCGTATTCTTAGCTAGGTTGAAAGCCTCACAACCTTGGCAAGGCGCTAACCCCACAATGAAATCATCACCAGCCGGATTCCCGCGGAATCGAAGGAGAGCAACCCTACAGACGATGGCATTTTTTGCTTTCACGTGCATTGCGCATAGCACGCCCTTTTTTCACCAATTCCTTGGTTAAGAAGCCATGGTAACATACAACTTTTTAAACAAGAGAGGTTGAACAAAAAGGCGAATCGCATAACACACACAGAACATCATCTTAGAGGAGGTGGGGTAGGGATGGGCAATTTGGGAATCCCAGCGTGTGGTATGCACACGTATGTATTTGTCCTCGTAGCCTTGACTACTATTATTTAATGAATGAATATTCGCATCACTTTCAAGGAAATGAATCAGACGTATTGGCATCAATGCGAATGAAGCATTCCCGAAAATGGTTACTACTACTTTCTTTGTTTTTATGCACAGGATATTCTATTTGGGCGTTCCACCTATACGTTCTGAAGATTCATATCTATCTCTCTCACTATATATATTTCTCGATAAATACTCACAGCTCGTGTATGCTGGACCTGTCTAATTCCATACTAATCCCAGACATGCTAATTCGCACATCGCGCAATTTTTTCTAATGATCATCATCGTCATTATCATCATAAGAGAAAGATAGTACACGATCGGACCTCCCCCGTTCGTTTTACCTTCTTCACCTAATGGGGGGGGGAGGGGGGGGTGAATAAATTTGGTTGTCTGTTTGCCCTATGATTCTATGGTAAGGATTACTGTTGAAGAACTTCTATCATGACGCCGGACTCGAGGTGATAATGGGATATAGGATGTCGATCCTGCAGAATCACCGCGGGGGTGCTACTTGTTTTGCTTTCCTTGCCACCCTCACCCTCCGCCGAAACCACACGAAGCGTGCAACGAGATAGAGGAATCAAGGTTCTTCGTTGAACCGCGGCGCGAAGCTTGAGGACTTTTTCCTCCGCTGGAACCCGTTCCTGCCAGCGCATATTTTTCGCCTTATAGGAAAAATTCAACACAATCGTTTCCTCTTGTTCTTTAATGACGACATCCACCGACGGGGGGCCATTTCGCGGGCTGGAGCCTCGGCTCGATTTGAGAGCAGGGGGAACCCCTAAGGTGGTGCTCCCGATGCGCGTTTTCGCCTCGATTCGGGTTTCCCCGCCAATCCACCACTCCTGACGGGCCGCTTTAATCCCACAGCTCGCCTCCACCATCTGCATCACATCCCCGACGCGATCCTCGACGTGGGCGGTAACGCTAAAACTCTTTTTTGTGCTCTTAACAAGCACCACGAAGGTTCGCCACTCGTTTGCAGGGGGTTGGTGTGAGGGCGCAGAGGGGCTTCCAGATATCATGACCCCCCCTTCTTCTCTTCTTCCTCCTCCTCTTTCCCTTTCTTCCTCTATTTGGAGTGGGGTTTGAAACTCGGGATGATCGAGCAGGAAAGCCCCTCCCTCCCCTGCTGCTTCCAACGCCTCAGAAAGAGGCCCAACGAGGTGATGATGGCATTGCGCGGGGGAGGTCGCCATATCGACCGCGAGCGGTACCCCAAACGCTGCCCACATCGCGTAATTATGCAAAAAGTAGCGCGTGAAATCGGCAAAGGAAACGCGTGGGAGATCCCCAAAGAGATCGATCATCCATCGCCGTCGTTCCCCACGCGACATCTCGCAAGTCCGCCCGAGCAAGGAATGTTCGACGAGGTCGTGCAACTCCTCCATCGCGATCGCGTCCTCGACTTCGCGGCGAAGTGCGACGAAGCAAAACCGTGCGGCGTCGATCGCGGAGACGTCCTTGGCGTGAAACGCGAAACCGATCATGAGTTCCTTCAGATCCGCCGCGGTGAGGTCCGCGACCGGGCGGTTCAGGACCACCGCGGCGACCTTCGCGACGCCGTCGTCGAGCCCCACGCGCCCCATCAGGACGTCAAACAGATGCCGCACGTGCTCCGCCGACGGGGCGGCCTCGCGCAGGCACCGACGCCGCCACCCCCGCCGCGCGGCGTCC